CCCTCCTTTCCCTCCTCCCCCCGAACGCTCTTGCAGCTGATACAGTTCCCCTTTTTTTATCACCCCAGAAAAAACAGAATTGTCATTTGAAAAAGCTGGCAGAAGTTCCCAACTAACAGTTCAATTTACGTGCAGAACAAGCTCTTCTGACTTCCATTTCTTTGTGCATGTACAGTACATCTTTATAATGGATAGTTTTAATTTGCAGACCTCATTTCCTTATTTCTAGTTTTTGTTATGTTCTCTAGCATTTCTGTCAGACAGGCATTCATGAGAGCATTTCAAGAAAGGTTCGAGTGGCAAATATTGGAATGCCAATAAATGACTCTTCCGTATTACCCTTATTGGATGATAGCTTCTTTTTCCATTTTCAGCATTGTCACACTTCTAAGCATTGTACATAATCTGTACACTTCTATATTGGGCTTTGCTCTTGTGGCACAAGTACAGATATGTACCAGTACGTTGTAGCAGTTGACCAAGAGAAAAATGGAAAGATGGCGGATATGGACCAAGAACTCTTAACCTCCTGCATGCCAGTGCATCGGTACTTATCAAGTGAATGCAGTCTGTGCTTCTAATATTGGAATCTAGGAACTTTGAGATGCACTCAAACTTCCTTCAAGTAACAACATGCATTCTCTGAAATATTGTATCTCATTTTAGGTCGTTTTTGTATCAATATGCATGACTGATGTGATTTCTTTAAAGATGGAAAGTTTACTTTGTTGATTTTAGGCCATTATTTTGCAGTCCGTTTGGTCATTGTCACCGTGCACCTACGTCTTGCTGCGCTCATCTCCCAGGCAGTTATCTCTCATCATCAGTGCCCCACTTGCTCTGCAGCATTTTTTGCCAACAGGATTAGCAGCCATGTACATGCTTGTGCACCAGTCATGGACATTAACAGCAAACTAATACCACATGCTTGGTTCATGGGGTTTTCTTGCATTTCATGCTACAAGTCCTGCTTTCAAACTGTTGATTCCTGATTTTCTTTGTCTTGTATTCATGAAAACCTGGAGAGATGTACATTGTACAGTACAGTATTTCCTTATAAAGATGATTTTTCAAGTAACTTTTCTTTAATTTTGAGTTCTGTGGAATTTTTTTATCCAAGCATTCAGATGGTCTTGTCTCATTTTGGCACCGAGTCTCATGTAAAGCCAATAAACAGGTGCCTTTACACTGTTCTAGATCAGTTCATCAGAAACAGGTATTTGAAGAAACACAAACGAGCCTTCAAATACAAACCCGGAAACGTTGTTGTAAATATCATTAATGTTGAAGCCAACCCCTCCATGAAAAGCCTTGGGAAGCATATTGTACATGTAGGTGATAGATTTCCCAGCCAGACATACTCTGTGAATGACAAAGCCAGCAAAATCTGAAGACAGTTATTTGGTTCAGGCTCAAGAACAGCTTCCTTCTTTAATAATGACTAGGGTTGGCATGCATTATTAACAAATATTCACTTTGTTGCTTTAGTTATTCATTCAGATCTCCCGAGTTTAGGTCTCTCGACCAGCAAACACACAGTGTTTGGCTGTAATTACTGTTCCGGATTTGTTTTTAACAGGGTCTGAAGCACCTGGAGGAGCAGACAAAGGAGAAAGAGAGCGACCTGATCCAACAAAGGGAGGAGTTCGAGAAAGAGAGGCAAGCGGAGCGGGCTCTGATCGAGGCGGAGAGAGCTCATCTACAAGAACTTGAGAATCAGGAGAGGTGAGATTCTGCCTGCCCAGTGCGGGTACCAAAGAGGGTTATCTGATGACAACAGGTACACTCATACAACAAGTCTGCTTCATTAATCACTTGTCTTTGTACGCACAAACTGACTTGAACTTGTCCTCAGAGGTTGAGTGTGTGTGGGGGGGGTCTTGGGCATCCGTGTGCTGGCTGGAAAATTAAAGAAATTTTGCTAATCCTTGATTTGTTTCATGCACGCACACAACGTTTGCAAAATTTGTGGATACTGGAGAGAGCCCATGAGTTAAACTTGAAGTTGGCGCTGTGCACACCTGATTTAGTAGCAAGTATCGCTCTGCGGGTGTGCTTCAGAATGGTAAAAAAGTTATGAGTTTGCTGTAAGAAAAGTACTACACTTAGGCTATACTGTTCAAATGACTCCTGCAAATCAGTATTCCTGGCTTGTGGTAGAGCCTGAATAGTTTGCTGCCATTCTTGCTTTTTTGAGGGGAAAGTCAACATTTTTATCCCAAAATAAGACTGGCGGCAGAGATAATGACTTAAACAGTTATGTCACCAAAGACATCGAGGGCCTGACGTTTGATTTGCCGCAGGATCAGCAAGCTGGTGGAGGAGACAGTGAAGCAGCGGCTGCTGGAGGAACGCAGCGAGAGGGATGAGCAGCTGCGGCGGGACCAGGAGAGGGAGCGGCTGGAGCGGGAGAGACAGCTGGAGCAGCTCAAGAGGGACCACAGCCAGGAGATGGAGGAGCTCAGGAAACAGATCAAGAAACGGTGGGGAGGCAGGATCAAATCCCAACAGGCTACGGGGAAATCAGGGAGTCAGTTTAGCGTAGTGTTTCTGTCCTTACCTTTCACCTCTACAGCCCAGGTTTGATTCTCTGCTCGTACCTACCTTATTCTGTGGGCTTTACCCAGAATATTATAAAAGGGTTTTCGTCCCACCTCTAAAACTGTAATTCCTCTCTACAGGTTTCTCCAAACTTATAAGCTACATATGCTGTACATTGTGGTGCATTATGGGTTCTTTTGAGGAATCATTTGTTTCATTACCAGAAATGCTTAACAATGAAACTTTGCTTCTGGAAAGTTTAAGTCATTTAACAGGGGTTGACCTATTAGTTACCAATGAACTCTTCTGCCCATGGGCCCTGGGCAAAAAAATAAAGAAATGCTGAGCTTTAGATGCCTGGTTGGGAGTTGAACCGGCTAGGCTGTAGAAGTAGAAAGCAAGGAAAGCTCAAAATCCTGACTCCCCTACATTTGTAAGTTGACCTGCTCCGAAGTTATTAAAAGTGGTGACTTATTTGTGTTTGCATTGGGCTTTAAGGGCAAACGACTATCTGAAATCTTTGTCATGAAAGGATTCCTCAACTGTCCACATAGTCACGTGTCGATTATCAGTTACTAGTTTACCTGACTTGAATGTTTGACAGGTCCAACCGCGTCATAGCAGAGTATTATACATTGTCAGCTTGTTCATGGATAAAAAGGCATTCTAATGGAACTTTTCTATGTGGCCTGAGACTTCCCACAACTTAGAGTGAAACAGCTACAGATGCATTGGAGAATACAAAGTGGAATGCTAATTTTTTCTAATTGATGGAAAGAACAGTTATGGAATTTTTCCTTGTATGAGTTGTTTTTCTTTTGTTCTACGCCCAATGTATGCCATACAGCAGACGGACAAAAACACATGGCAAAGTTTTGTGTTGGTCCAAATTTCCTTTTTTCTGACCTTCCATCACATTCCCAAGTGAAGTCTGATTTGTTTGCTCTGTAGAAGTGATTCTTATGGTGCCTTGTCACTGCAAGGAAATGGAGAATTCAACTCACCACCAAAGAGAAGATACTCTGTTGTAAGTACATATACCTGAAGTGTTTCTCTTTACTTTGTGAGCAGTTTAATACTCATGGTGAAAATTCTGAATTGGACAAGAGCTCACAAGGGCATGAGATAATGAACTTCGAGCATTTGTCACGTTGTGTGAAGCTTGTTTTGAACACCACAGTAGAACTCAAGAATGAAATACTCTGCAGTGTATAGAGCAATCTGACTAGCAGAATTAGAAACCAGCAGAAAAATTCTGCGCTAACCCTTTAAGCAGAGAATCCTTAGGTACAGGATGTATGCATACACACACGCCATAATTCCTCGCTAACCTGTGAAATCCGTTCGCAGTAAGCACAGAATTTTCTGCTACGGTAAGCGCCGTTTTTTTGCTTGTGGTAAGCAGCGCTGTGAAATTGGGCCCTGATCCATCCTGCAATGAGAAGACAGCTTGGCTTAGGAAATTTGGGGCTGAGTTGTGGAGACACAAATGCGTCCCGAAACAAAGTTGTCAAACTATTGTTCAACACCTGTGTAGTCCCTACAGCTATTGATACGGTGCCAATATGTGCGAACAAGAAACAGCCCCTATATTGGCAAAGAGATTGAGAAATGCTTAACTCTTGAACACTATTGCCCCGGTGCTCTAGATGCCCAAGGGAAGATGCTTTACATTTGTAAATATGTCAGATGAAAATAATAGTACTGTATACATGTATGTGCAGTGCAGGCATAGGGCACTATCTTACTAAAGCATAGAGCACTGCCAGTGTATAGATCACTATTTACCAGTGCTAGTGCATACATATGTAGCATATAAATGCATATTCCTCCATAAACAGCATTTTGTGGATCTCCAAGTGTTTAATGCAGTGACCTCTGCCGTTTTGAGAAGTGCTGTGTAAATCTAATTTGTTCCGTTTCTCTTCCTCTTCCATTTTACAGTCCTCACCAATCACTCCACACACAGAGACACTGCGTGATCCAATACTCATCAGCATTCCCAGTCACATGCTACGAGGTCACGGATGGGATGCCCACTATGTGTTTGAAGTGCACGTACGTAAACCTTGTGTGTACAATTAGATTGAACAGTGCTGCAAGTTTCAAGGCTGACAATGTGTTTTCCGGCATGGTTTTTCTTTTTCCAGTTTGGATCTGCTTGCAGTGGACTTATCAAAAAGTCTGTTCACTTAGAAAACTTCTGTTGCTGTTGTCAGTGAAATTTATATCCAGTAGTGAATCCAGGTCTTGGGTGTGGGGAATAACAAAATGGGATTTCTCTCTAAAATTGACCTTCCTATTTTTTATTTGTAAAAGAAAAATCCTTATATCCCCACCAAACAGGTAGTAGTAACATTTCTGAAACACTAGTGCTCTTGATCCCTAAAAACAGGCTACATGTCTCCAGAACTTGACCCCCCCCGGTGCTGGATATGCTCCTGTTTACATCTCAGTTTGAGTGATGCAACAAAGGCATTTATCATTTAGCTTTTAAAAAGACTCAGAACTTTGTCTCATAAGAAGTGTAAATAGGAGTACTACTTTTGAATCTGTTTAACTGAATTTATTCTGTTTGCAGTGTACTCTTTTTTTCTTAATTGGTATCGAATGGAGTGACCAGCTGCAGCATGTCTATTTTATTTCATTGGTTTCTTTGTCACCAGATCCAGGTACTGGACGAGAAGTGGCAGATCTACCGCCGCTACTCCAAGTTCCGAGAGCTCCACGACTACATGAAGCAGAAAATCCCAGCAGTAAGTATACTTGGGCACCGAGGGACCCTTATGAGAATAAAAGACCTTCATCTGGTAGCTACTTTACAGTTGGAGGTCAAGATTAATCCAATGATGACTGATCCGGGGTGACGCCATCACTGCGGTGGCACTGTATTTAGGTCCAGGTTGCACACTGGAACTGCACGTGTATTTTGGCTTGTCACGACACATTGTTCGTGGAAGAGGCCCAGGCGTGGTGCCACTGCAGTAATTTGCTTCTAATTCTAGCCGATGACTAATGTATAGTCCAAAGCATGCATCAGTTGCCAGAGATACTGCAGTTACAAGTCAGTCATAGTGCAGTCACAGGTCAACCACAAATCACAGTCACAAGTCAATCACAAGTCAATCATAGTGCAGTCACAGGTCAATCATAGGGCAATCACTAGGTTAAGTCAGTGAGCAGTACTGTAGTTGAGACCATCACGAGAGAGACCATCACAACAAAAGACATGAGACCGGTCACAAGTAACAAGTTGAAGTGTGGCAAGGGAATGCTTCTGTTGCACTTCATTTGAAGGCATGGGACTTGAATTTGGGCTGGAGGTCTTGTGATGGTCTTGTCGGGTCCTTGTGATAGTCTTTAGAAGTCTCAACTACAATACTGCCAATTGCAAGTCAGTCATGGGCAATCACAAGTCAGTCATAAGCTGATCACAAGTCAAGTAAAATTTCAGGTCAGAAGTGGATGGACAGTGACAAAGTAGTGTATGTGTCATTCATTTGAATGGTTTTTGTCTTTATTTACTGCAACTTACTTGTAATAGATAGATGTAATGTAATGCAATGTAATGTAATAGACTGCCACCGCTGCAAGGAATATTTGACCTTGAAACGTGTGTTAACGTTGTTTCAGATTGCATTTTGTGTTATATGCACTGGATTCAAAATGTATTTACAAGAGTCACTTGATCTTTCTTGTAGATTCGTGCATTGAGCTTCCCCCCAAAGAAGATCTTCACTAATTGGTCGGAAAAAGCAATAGCCAGACGAAGGGGAGAACTGGAGGTAAGGGGTTACGCTACTCCTGTGTGCAAAGCCTCAGTCGTCTAAACAGGTTTCTCCACATAGCCGGTCGTTTCACATTGTTGGCAAGCAGTGTGGGTTGAAGCTTGTCAGAAGCCAAAATCACAAAATTTAGAAGTCTGGTCTCAACTAATGTTGGGACAAGTACTTGTGCAAGCTGTAGTTCAACCACTTGTCATATGCTGTTGAACAATGCACACGTGCAGTACGGCCACACTCGAACATGTCCTAGTTGAACTCTCCTTAGAAAGCCCCTTTAAGTTTCAGAGGCTATAACAAGGAAACTATTGGAGATATCAAGCTAAGACTGTTATCTTGTGTTTGATATTTCAGGGCAGTTTGAGGGATTTTTTTTTCATGGAAATCTGAGTCAGGTAGCATTGGAAGTACGTACAGCCAGATTTTGTCTGATAGGACACGGCATGACACGGTTGCTTCTCACACATTGGAGGATTTGATTGGATTTAGAATGGTTCCTGACTAGAATGTACTCAATATGTTTGCCATGATAGTTTTAGGACCAACATACATGTAACTGGAAAACATATACCAAACTCATTTTTTTTCTTTTTTTTTGTAGGTCTATTTGAGGAACTTCATCTCGGTGTGCTTAAAGAATCCTTCCTGTCCCCTGTCCCCCGGACCCGATCGAGTCCTCTCCAAGCAGACACTCTGCGACTTTGCCACGTTCTTCCGCAAAGGGGCCTTCGAAATGACCAAATACGGCACCGGTTGATGCGACATGACCTCGGGGAAGCACATGCAACATGGGCTGCCGTTCTCATGTTTGTAAAAGGAAAGTGTGCATTGGCACTGTACCCCCTGGCTGAGAAAGTTCAGGAGTGATTCAGAATCAAGACACATCTTGACGTTAGGGCTTCCAGCTCAAGACAACAGGTGCACCAATATACGGAAGCTACCTGAGAGCACTTGCAGCCACTTCCCATAGATGCACGTGTTGTACATCAGGCCACAGTAAGTTCGCACAGCCAAATTTCAGGAATGTCATGAATGGAACCCAAGTGGTACCTGAGAGTCTTAAGTTCACTCTTGTCTTGTTCGGGAAAAAATTTATGTCATAACAGCTTGCTACATATTCTATACATTTACATGTATGTGTACCAAAAAGTATCTGTTATTTGCAATGCACAGTAATAGTAAGTTAATTGACTTTGTTGAAGATAGAATGCAAATTATCAAACAACTTATGCATACCGGCAATCAAACAGTGTTTGCTGACATCAAACAGATTTCAGAGGTCCCACTGAAAGTTGCAAGCATAAAGTTGGCCACATTTGCAGCTGATAAACAGATATGATTATGGATTGGGTATTACTCTTATTGCCTATTGTGTAGTGGTTATTTTGAATATGCTTGCACAAAACGATTGTTCTGTTCTCTGTCAGTGGGAGAACAATCCATTGCTTGTGGTTTCGTCCTACGTGTGAGATGCAACTGCATATTCATGTGTCAGTCCATTGATTTTACAATGTCAATAATTTGCCCAGAATACATGTAAAATGACCAAATACACCCAAGTATTGAAAACAGCAAAGAGAAGTAGATAGATAGATGTTACTCCCTGCTAAAGTTTTTGTTAACAGGGAATCACTTCATGGATGCCTTGTTGTCAGTGAATTTGTTGTAAACTTTATAAAAAGTGAAATCAGTGTGAGCTGACATCTTTACCAGCTGGTGAGGACCTACAGGTGTCCTCACAATGTTTTGGCCCCCATACTGAATATGATGTGGTTTTTAATAGTTCAAAGATGAAAGATACAGAAATCATGGCAAATTCATGTCAAAGGATGATATATCAAATTATGTTTAGCAAAGCCAGCTGCTTTTAAAACAGCAAAGTGGTATGAGAAGACGTGCGATGGTGTAATAGTATTTCTTGATTGAGTGCAATATGTTCCATAATGATTTTTAATTGAGGTTATCCGTAGAATACAGGCGATTCATAATAGTGCGCCCCCAAGAGTTTGCAACACGTTGGCCAATCAGAATGCTCAAAATTTCTCGACCCTTTCCAAACGCACATTTGGTCGACAAATTTCGCGCATTGTGATTGGCCTATGCGTTGCAAACACTTGGTGGCGCACTATTGTGAATCGCCCGTATTCCAGACAGCCTGTATGCAATTGAGATGTGATATCCCCTACCTGTGGCAGAGAGATGTCGAAATTTGCCTTTAGACTAATTGGAGGAGATTCCGATCACAGCGATGGTATCACACTCACATGCACGTCTTTAAGTTAGACTTGAGCTGGTGCACGCTTTGACAAGGGAGAGTCATAGCTGGGTAATAAAACCCTGGCAGTCAAAGAGAAATGCTCCGCACTTCCAGTCGGGGCAAAAAGTTTATATACAACTGGTAGAACAAACACAGTTTTCCTCAAATTTCACAACTTCACGCATTCCTACCAACTTTTCTTTTCATGAGGACAGACAAGATGGGTCTCTACCTAATGTACATGGTGTACGCGTCAAATAAAAACACCAAGAGACATGTAAATGATTCACGTTTATATTTACAAACAAATCAAAATTTTACATACTCAACCCTAATATTTAGTACCACTTTCTGTGTTTTTTGTCGTATAGTCGCAATGGACTGAAGTGTTTTGGAACATCAATAAAGGGGTAAATGTAAATTTTCACAGAATGATTTTTCTTAAATATTAAAATTTTGAACCATAATAAATGTCTCTTGAGTATTTTCAACTGAAGTACACACAATGAACATTAAGTTAAGATACAATTTGTCTGACCTCATAAAGAAAAAGTTGGCAAAACTATTTCAAACAGCAAAAAAAATTGAGGAAAACTGTTTTTCTACCAAGTGTACATAAACTTTTTGCCCCAACTGTACTTTCTGTATGTGAGCATGATGCCACCTCATTAATGGATTCCCATTCTTGCCACCTGTTTAAAATTGATAAGGGCTTTGGAGAGGAATGGCCTCCTCCTGGTAAGTTTTTAGATGTGCATATTCTTGACCCAAGACGTTGCTATCTAACATTTGTTCTGCATGCACCTACGTGCTGCTGCACTTTCACATTCTAGAAAAATTCAACCAACAGAGGGCAGAGATCGCAGAAATCAACACCTGTTTAAGCAAAAACGAAGTCCATTACGGAATCAAATAAATTCATGATGGCATCTATTAAAATCGACATTTGCAAGCAAAGTCAAGCTGTTGACAATATGATGAAGAGGAAATAACAGAAGGTTCTTGAAACCAAGACTGCATGCACATGTAGGTAATACACTGTTCTATGAATCAGTTCTAGTATCACAGTGCCCTGAAACACTGTTCAATTGTTTAACATTAGCAGCATTATTATTATCCATGTAAAAAGGTCTGATAGAGTCCTTTCGGTCATTTGAACCAGTTGATAATTTTTTCTCCAGCCCTGGCTTCTGTCAATTTTGTTTCATTGCACCATTCTACCTTCTTCAACCAGGTGGTGCTAAACGTTGTAGTGGCAAACACATCAGAAAATAAAACGGTTGCCCATTTTCTTGTCTGTGTGTTTTTATTTTAGATATATTTTTGCCATTGTTATCAAACACTTTATAAAAATCCTAATTTTAAAACTTTTAAATTCAAATTTTGTTTTTCTTGTTCGAAATATGACCTTTGAGCCCATCTTCCATGTATATATATCATTTTTTTATTTTAATGTATTAAATTAATTGATATTTTAAACAATTCCTCCAGAACAAGATTTGTTACTTTGCTCACAGTGCATGCTTGTAAACAAGCTATGCTACGGTTGTGAGTTAATGGAACATTTAAAAAGTCGTACTGGAGACTTTTCCTTTGAAATTGAAGCATAAATTACATTGATAATTCTAGGTCAGAATTTAAAGTGTCCACAGGTTTTCCTGATTTACATCATCTAATGTCTGTCAATATCCGGATATTTTAAATTGGATTTCCGTGCATTCTTTTGTCATTGATTTATGGATGTAGTTCTCCCCTCGCCTAAGAATAAAATTAAAGATACATGTAAGGAAGTTATTACTTCAGGATTACCTGTAGTGGATCGGCACCCGTTTTAACGAATTATGACTTCTCCTTTAAGTTACAATTCTTGTATTTTTGTTCAGGGAAATATACATCACGCTCGTGTAATTAACTGCCCTATTATGTAGGGGAAGTGCGCTTGTGATATTATAGAAGTCACTGTGAACTCACTGATGGTATCTGTGACATTTAAAGCAATGTTGCTATTGTTCACAGTACTTAGTTATCCTTTTATTTCACTGGAGTACTTTGTGGAAAAGCTCCTCGTGCGCTTATTAGTTTACTTTGAAGAAAGTAACTTCACTGCTCTTGCTTGATTTGAACAACATGTTAAGTTTGCCTTTCAACTTTGAGCTTAATGCTGCAAGGTTGTTTTGTGTCTCGAATTACATTGGAAGAATCTTGCGAGTTCTTAAGTGTACTGGTGTATGTGTATATCACTGTATAGATTTGAAACTTGGAATTTTAAATTGTTATTGCCAAGTGGACAGATTAGCATTAACATGGAGTTCGATGTGTAAAGTTTTGGATCACGACCAAAATCAAAATGTGCCTTCAGTATAATGTCTGTTGACTTGTACAGGTATTCCACTCCTTACCTTGTGCTTTGGGTGGAGTGGAAATCAAAATTTTGTGAAGTTGTGTAAAGTACTCGTGTATGTGGTAAAGGTTGTGGGTAGGCCTTACCGCTTCCAGGGGACAATTTCTTATTTGTTTGGAAAATTGGAACCACATTGTCAGGACAAAAATTGACCCCATGACGTTTTTGGTCCCCATGACGTCTGTATTCCCACACTTGTGTATAGTCCCCATACCCTGTTAACAAGTATGCGTTGGTGCGCCTGCATTTGTTGATTTTACTAGAAATGATTTAAAAATTTAACTGTATGTTTTTACATCTTCACCGGTTAATTGGATCTTGTATCTGTTAACCCACCCCAATAAATATTTTTCTACGGTGTACATTTGATGAAGGTGATTGAATGGGTGGCAAATGTGTACAGGAGCTTTAATTCATGCTAAAACGATTTGGTTGCTAAATTTGATTCACTTTACCGTCATTGATCAAGATTCTCTCTGAAGTAACTATTGAACTGAGTGCATGAAATGAAATCACCACTCAGAATTTAATGGGAGAGTCATCTGGGCGCAAGAGTGACCCAACGACATTGAACTTTAAACAAATTATATATGTATAGGTGGATTGGGGTGAAATGCCTTATAAATGGAGAGGATAAGCAAGTTTCCATATGAGATCAGTTGGGTGATGGACAACGTAATAGTCATTATTTAGCCAGGCACACTCGAAAATGTAATGGCAAATATTGTAGCATTTGTAGCCCATTATTTTGTGGACCATTTTGTGCTTATATAAAGCAGATTGAACCTGGTTAAATTGAACATGCGACCATGCCATTCAGTTTGAAGGAGTTCGAGACTTCACCGTTCCGTATCCCAGACCCAGTCAAAATATGAGACAATGATAATATATCTGTGTTCAGTGTTGACCCACCAAGGAAGTGTAGGCAGCGGCGGGCGGTAGCTGAAAAGGGGGCATGAACACCCGCTAATGAAAAAAAACTACATGTATATACTCCACTCCTCAGCACAAACTCGAATGCCTTCCCGAATTTCAGTTTTTATTGTCTTACTGATACTCTTGCCTTTCAATTCGCTAGTAATTATTTTATGCATTTGTG